TAAATTAACAATAGGTTAATTGGGGTAGGATTACGTGTAAAAATTTGTAAATTTTTAATAATGCATTAAATTTTAAAATAAATAAACGTGATTTCAAGGCCTCACTTTAGCAAAAAAAAAAAAAAAATGATGACTGAATTTTGAACCCTGAAATCCTTGGTAATACAAATGTTCATTTGTTGCAAGCATGTCCCATATAAAGAATGTTGCCAAACTACCACCCGTATTTATTCAATTTCAAATTACTCTAAAATTGGAAATGAAAACCTAATTAGACAATGTAAATATAAATATTATTTATTATATTATTCAAAAATTTTTTTTTAAATTTTGTGATTTTATTTATGCGAACAATACTAAAGGAAAATTAATAATGGAATTATTATTATACAAAACAAAATAAAATTTTTTGGGTATAAATAACCTGCTTTTTTATAAAATCTATTCTGTAAATATAAGTAAATAAATAAATATATATATATATAAAAAAAAACCAAAAAATATTTTTTTAAAAAAAAAAAAAATGAAAAAAATCATATTTTATTTCCTATTATTTAATTTATTAAATATAATTATTACAGTAAATGCTGTAGCAATTAATAAAAAAAGACAAGACCCACCACCACCAACCACTCCAACATTCCCAACACAATATTATTATGACCAAAAACTTGATCATTTCAATGATACAAACACCGAAACATTTAAACAAACATATTATTTCAATTCATCATTCTATAAAGCAGGCGGGCCAATATTTATCCATACTGCTGGTGAGGCACGCGCCCAACCAATTTATGTATTTAGTACAGGGATTAGTGAATTGGTAGCTAGTCTTAATGGTTTGTTGGTAACAATTGAACATCGGTTTTATGGCGATAGTTATCCACCATCCATAACAGATTTATCATTTGACAATATAAAGAATTATTTAACAATTGACCAATCATTGAATGATTTTGTAAATTTTATTAAGAATCCACCAGCAGAATTGGCAATTACAGACAATGCTAAAGCAAAGTGGGTATTTGTTGGCGGTTCTTATGCTGGAAATTTAGCCGTTTGGATGCGTAAATTATACCCGGATGTTGTATTTGCCTCTTATGCTTCTTCAGCACCGTTACTAGCTAAATTGGATTTTTTCGAATACGACCAAAGTATAGCAAAAGCTTTGTCTAAATGCAGTCAACAAGTTGCCGATGTTTTCAAGCTTATTGATCCTATTTTGTTATCTGGGAATGATACAGCAATATTGGAGTTAAAAAAACTGTTTGGCTTACAAGATTTGGTAGATAATAGTGACTTTGCTTCTGCACTATCCAGTCCAATATCTGATATGGTTCAATACTATTTACCAGCATCTCCTTCATTCCCAATTGATACTATAAAAGTTTACTGTGATGCATTCAATCAAGCTCCAGCAACAACGACACCATTTGAAATATTTGTTCAGCTTACAAATTATTACTTCCAATTAGTTGGTTTAAACACAACTGAGGCCATTTTGAAAAAATTTTCAACAACCGATTCATTAACTCTCAAAATACCAAACGATCTAACAAGTTACACTTTTCAATATTGCACGGAGTTGGGCTACTTTCAAGTTGCACCTAAACCACCTTTACTAAGTCTTCGGTCACAATTGAATAACAATACATATTTCCAAGGACAATGCAACTATCTATTTCCAACCTTGCCACCACCAAATGTCAACAAGACAAATGAGAAATTTGGTGGTAATGATGGAGTATTTTCTAATACTGTTTTTGTTAACGGCGATCTTGATCCTTGGTTTGCATTAACAGTGAAAAATTTGAAAGATAATAAAGTTTTCATAATAAAAAATGGATCACATACCAACGATTTAAATTTTCCAACTCCTTCTGACTCTCAATCATTAATTGATTCAAGAGTATTTGTTAAAGAAACATTGTCTAAATGGTTAAATGTAAAAAATTAAAAGTAAAAAGAGTCAGTGTGGGTGGTGGTAACACAACATTAATATTTAATAATAATAATAATAATAGTAACGATGATGATGATTAAGATTCTGGTATTCTTAATTGTATATGATTTAATTTTTTTTTTTTTAATTTAATATTTTTTTTTGGTTAAAAAAATTAATTTGTAAATTATAATGTTTCGTAATTTAATAAATTATATATTACACAATGAAAAAAAGTAATGTATTGATGATTATATATAATTAACTTTTTCAGAAAAAAAGAGATCAAATTCTCGAGGCTGTTTGTTGTGCGTGAAAACGAATTTGCAATTCACATATTAATATTGTCCAAAATTATTCAAATTAAACAATGCGAAATTAAGAACGGGATTTTTAGTGCACCCGGGGCTAGTTTCGAATTAAATGATTGCGCGTTGTGTAATATCAACATTATTTTAATGTACAAAATCAAAATCATAGAACCAAAAATCTTTATTTACCAGGTTCAAAGAAGTCTGGATCATTTAACAAAATTCGAAACTTTCGAAAAAATTATCCAAATTTTCGCTAATGAAATCCGAAATTGAAATAATAATTCAAAATTCAAGGTCTGACTCAAATTAAAAATTATTGATTTTGATTATTATTAGACAAACTCCTTGTTCCAATGACATTTGGAGAATTAAAGGTTGTCAAAGAACCTGTTTCATTCAAAAAATATCATTTTGATATTTGCGTAAGATAAAAGTGTTTATTTCATTTCAATAGGTAGATTTAGATATCCTTTTTTTCCATTATCATTACAAAATACAGATGGAATCATAATTATGAATCAAAATTGCTTGGCATAATTTAACTAATCATTTATTTACATCTTTTGTTTTAATGATGTCATTCCAATGGAACGCGGCAAATAAGACAACAGCGGAAAGTGGCAAAAACAGATCCAAATTGCTATATATATCTTATCTCAATTATTACTTAACAACAATGAATATTATTACTAGCGCCTTAGAAACATACGGTTTTAATTAGCTCTTAAATTGGAAATTAGCATTAGAAGAATTAATCCTTAGGAAGTTCCAAATTAAATAGAAATGAGTCTTACCCATTTATTTCTATTTCTTCAGAATGCAATCAAGAATAAGTATCATAAATTGTATATAAAAAATGTAAAGGTTTTGATCTTGAAAATATCTACGCAAAAACGTACATATCAACTTGTGGCGTATGTTCTTATTATTATAAAATATACGGAATTATTCCGGAAAAAATTGTAAAATATACGGAAATTCGCAATTTTCTGTACACGAGGTTTTATTTAAAAATCGTATATTTGATCTATATATTAATGATGATGAAATTCTAAAAAATTTTTTTGATAGATTTGTAATAAACTAGAGGATTATTTTATGAATGAATAAGTTTATTACTTATTATTATTACATTTTATTATCATATGTATATTTTATTGTAAAATATTAGTATTAATATTATTGTACAACATATCACGTGATCGTTTCATAATATCTTAATTTCGCGGATATCTCGATTTAGCGGATAATTTTTTTGGAACGAACATATCCGCTAAATCGAGACACACTGTGTATGATGTTAATTAGTTTTGATCTACATTAGTCCATCGTACACCCCAAGGATCTATGAACAAAATGTTCTAACAAACGTTTTATCAATTATTCAATAATTTGTGCAGGAGTAATCGAAGTGAGCTTTAAGGACAAGATCTACGAACAAAATATTCTAACGAACGTTTTATCAATTATTCAATAGTTTGTGTAGGAGTAATCGAAGTGAGCTTTAAGGACAAGATTTACGAACAAAATATTCTAACGAACGTTTTATCAATTATTCAATAGTTTGTGTAGGAGTAATCGAAGTAAGCTTTAAGGACAAGATCTATGAACTATTCTAACGAACGTTTTATTAATTATTCAATAGAGATAAAACGCCTTTTAATTTAATCATTATTGTTGCTCAAATTGAAGTTAAAGAACCCAAAAAATGACCTTGATCGAAAATAAGAAAGTATTTTAAAGAAGATTGAGAAAATATTTTCTTCTATATAAATGAAATTCATTCCAACTATCCTTTAGATGAAGTTAAAGAAAATATCCTGGCTTTCAATATCTTATTGATGATAATCCAATGATTATAAAAAAGCA